TCATGACGATATTATTTAGTGGTAATTCAAAGATAGGATATACTTTATCAATAAGAAATAGATGAGATAGCTTTCCCGTTGGAGGATTGCAAATCTTGAGATTTCTTACCAAGTGAAGTACTTCTATTATTTTAACAAATATTCAATAAATAGATCATATTTTTTTACTTCATATTCAAATTGTAATTTCCACCATTTACGACGATATGTAAGCTACACAGTACCAATTTTGGGCGTTGTGGGGTGTTTACCCTTCCCCACACGTAACCGACTCCCGAACCTGTTTTAAATGAATCTTTGGTAACGTAGACCAAAATTTTGTCTTATAAAATTATTTTTCTTAAAATTGTTTTTAAAAGACGTTTTTAGGTACTCGACCTACCTAACCCAAAGGTCGATGGCGACTCTTTTCAATTTTATTCAAATCCGTTCAAAATCACCAAATTTTCCGAATTAAAGTCGTAATCGTTTTTTTAAACCATAAATAATGGTTCCACCTAAAAAATAGTTATGACATACGTGTTTATTGAATAGTTAAAAAATTTCTTATAATCATCTTATATTATTAAAAAAACAATATATGTATTACCTTGCGTTCTTCTTCAAAGGACATGTGGCCCTATCGGGATTAGTTAGATTAGCTCCGGAATTAGTATGATTGTATATGAATATCTATTAATCAAAAAAATATATTAATATCAAGTTCTTTTTTAAACTAAAAAAAATAATTGAGTGATAAAATAAAGAATTAGTTGACAGACAAGTTTTTAAATTATATATTTTTATCTGTTTTTAGTGGTTTTTTTTTAAAAATAAGTGTTTAACATTTTCTTTTATTACCATTTAAGGTACTTCAAATTTCATAATATTACCATTATAAGGTTATTTCGTCAACCGCAGTTAAAATCTGTTAACCAATAACTTAACCCATTACATTAATTTATGATTAATATTAATTTTAAAAAAACATTATTTTTATAAGAAACCCTAAAATTTTCTAATTTGTCAAACCCCTAAATCCCCGTGAAGATTAGAGGTCATGCGGCGAATGCACAGTCGGAGACTAGGCGGCTCGATATTCAAGTGACGGTAAAAAGGATGATCGGTGGTTATTTATTTTATGATAATATATGAGATTTAGGGATTTAGAATTTTAGGTAACTTAAGGGTTTTAGAGAGTTTTTATAAAATAAATTATTTTAGTTTTCTTAAAAGAAATTAAAAAATAATATATTATATATCATGCACTGTTAGATAACATAATTAACGATAAAACACCTTAAATGATAACTTTGAAAAAATTAATCATTTACTTTGATTAAAAAAACTTTTATAGGCGTAAAATAATAAACAAGATGTATAGTTTAAATTTTAATTAAATTTACAATAAAAAAAAAGGATACGAAAAAAAAAACACATATTGGTGGCTAAGTAGGTCTCTAGATTTTGAATTACATTTACATGATGTTGGGAATTTGCTTCTATGTTTCGTTATAATTAACTTTTTTTTTCTTTTGCAATAACTTTGCAGTAACATGATAAAAAAACATATTTCATCGTTAGATGAGTCTAGAGTACACGTCGTACATCGAAATACAACACTAATATGATATATCGATGCACACTATAAACTAAATTGTTCTTATTAAATAAATATTATAAAATATAATGACATGTACACAATTAATCCTTTATTATTATTTAATTTAAATTTTAATAAGAATATACTTAATTTATTTTTATTAAAATTTATAATTATTTTTGGATTTTTTATTTGTTTAGGATTGAAACACTTAATTTATATAAGTTTACATATTCATTCCTAAAACAACCATCAAACTAATCATTGGTGATCCAATTCATCGCCCAAAAAACGTGTTATTGTGGTTATATAATGCCATCCCACTATGCTCTTCCCAAGATCATGTAAATTTTATCACGACTACATATTAGTTTATTCAGTTGCTTAAGGAATTATTGGTAATTTTTTATTTATATGTAATTGGAGTTTTTGTTTTGATTAATGTTACATGCTTATAGATTCATCCTATACAAAGACACGGTCTTCAGCTCCTCTCATTGCGAGTAGTTTCAGAAGTGATTTTGTCATTTTGTGCATTCACCACCAATGATGGCAAAACTCGACGATTTAGGTAATTTGAAGTCATTGTTTACATATGAAGAATTAACTGAGGTTACGGATATTTTTTTAGATCGTAGCCTTTTGGGTGAAGGTGAATTTAAGGTTGTTTATAAAGGTTGCTTATAAGATAGAAGACGGGTGGCTGTAAAGCAGCTAAAAATCAGTGGGGACTTGGTGAACGAGAACCTAAAGATGATGTTGAAGAACATGATCTTCCGACTATAAATAGGATAGTCGAAGGTTGGTTATGATGATTGTTATTGTGATGAATATATAAGTTTATATAAATTAAGTGTTCCAATCATAAACAAAAAAATTCTCGAAATAATTATAATTTTAAATAAAATATAATTTAATTATATTCATATCAAAATTTAAATTAAATAATAATAAAAGATTAATTATGGTTAGATCATTATATTTTTTCATATTTATGTAATAAGGATAATTTAATTAATGATGTATATTATGTCACAGTATGTTTTATTGTACGACGTATATTCTAGAATTTTCATTCAGCGTCTATTATGAAAGAGCGATGCTACTGTAAAGTCATACGAATGAAAATAAAGCTGATTTTGGAGGATTTTGCTTAGCTCATACGAGGGATTTATTGGGTGAAAAGATGAGAACTTTTCATTTTTCTCTTATCTTTCTTCTTCCTCTTCTCTACTCATCTTCCTCTTTCACATCAAAGCTTCATTGTTCAAAGGTGATAGCTTGGCCTTCATTGTTGAGACTGGAGTCAAGGTAACGTAAGATTGATCCCTAGAATCAACAGAGTTTCAGTTTAAGTTCTATGTCTCTATAAAAGATGGTGTTGATCTTAGATAAGAGTTTTGGAAGGATTTTAAACCCTAGAACTTATTCATTGGATTCAAGATCTTTTTGGTGTTCCAAGAGTATGGAATACTCCTGTTAATTCCTTTGTCAAGTAGGTAATCCATCCTCTACTTGTTTGATTAACACAATAGCTTGGAGAAACACCTAAAGCAAGGGAGAAGAAGAGATTTAGTGAGAGCTGAGCAATGAACTTCATTTCGGGATTTTAGTATTAAGGTAGTACACCTTCAACTTTGAAATACCGTTTGAACTTCATAAATGTGATATTTTGTTGGTTGTATACACATGTTCAGTATTTTGGGTGCTTAAGCATACTTTGGATTCAAATTCTGGCATTGATTGTTAAACATGTGTGAAATTTATGCTAAATGACACTATGTAACCCCCATACGCCTTAGAAATCGATTTGGGCTTAAACTTGAGTGTTTAGGAGTGTTTTAGAGTGATTCCCAAACTTAGAAATAATCATTTCTGGGCTTAAGTATCGGGACTTGAAAAACAATACTGATACCAATGATTTGGTGAAGAAATCTTGAGAAAAATATGGAGTATCGATACAATTTTTGTGCATTTCGATATTGTTAATTGGATATCAATACTAAGATTATGTATCGATATCGTGGAATTTCGAAGTATTTTCTGGTATCAATATTAACCAAAGGTGATGATATTATAAGGTTGACTGTCGATACCCTCAGCCTGGTATCGATACTCCATGCTTCTAAAAGTCAAGTTTGGCTTCATAAAAGATCGTATGACCAAGGGATAACTTGTAATAAGAGGATTTAACCTAAAGAGAGGCTTAATGATATCGAAGCCGCCTCTCAAGCCTATTGATAAATTGTGTGAAAAGGGGAATAAATGTGAATTATGAATTGTTAACGAATAAACAACCTCAAGCCTAATAATGTAATATATGGATGATAACAATGATGCTTAATGCCTTTAAGCAGCATAAGTTATTAAAAGATTATTTAACTCTTACATAACGTTCTAGACGAGAGAACGAGTTATATAATTATGAGAAAAGAGATGTCCTCACTTGATTTGTTTGATAGTGGTGTTTGAATAGTTAAACTATCTCGTTTGGCCTTATAAGACATTTATATATTTGGCCTATGAATACTTGTATATGTTGTGACATATTTGATGGTAATTTGTTGGATATCATGTTTGGCTTGCCATATATATTGCGAGCGAGAATTTAACCGAGATTATGATAACATTGGATTCCCCCTCTATGGTTTGTACTCGATTGCTATGGTGACACTGACCGATCATTTATTGTGTTGATTAATTGATAAGAACTATACCGATACATATGTGAGACTGAATTTCCCCTTTCACGTTGAGTACCTAAATATTATTGTGACATGGAGTGTTAACATTGTGTTTATGCATACGATTGATGTGTGGCTAGCATGTTTTTGACACTAGGTGAATCAGTAGCTCATTGAGATAATTGTTATTGTGAATGTAATCCCTAAGGCTAAAGGATACATTGTGTGTGCTGATCTTAATAGATATATCATAGATAATTAATGAATAACATGATATCTTGTTGAATGATAATTGATGCTAGGTAAAGCCAGTTAGAAAATTAGAATTCTATCATGTAGAGAACATATTGTTAATGGTTAGCACGATCCTTTATTGATGACATTGTATGCTTAGACTTGATCCTCTTTATTTATACTGTTTGTCATGCTTATGTTTATGAATTGCAAGTAGTATAGTAGAGTCGTTAATTGATTTGCATTTGTTGGGAAATGGATAGAGTCGTTTGAGATATAAAACTAGAGCATTAATGAACTCTTGTAACAAAAAGGTATTGATACATTTGAACGAGTATCAATACTTCGTGCACAAAAGTTCAGCACAAAAATGAATTGGCCCATTGTCGAGACAACATCGACCCCAAGGATCAATAAGTAGCTAATCTCGACTCTGTAATGGCCGCGGAAGAAGAAGATAAAGCACCAATCCAAAACAGGGACGTCAACCATTAAAAACCTAACCACAAGCCATTAGAATGATAGAATCTAATATGGCTGATTCAAAGGCTTCACTGCAGCCCTTATAAGATAAAGATACGACAAGTATAAGTCATAAGTTGATTAGTAATACAAAACACAAGTTCAACTACGCCAAGGAGAAAAAAACCAACAGAAAACCACAGTTCTTCTTTGTTAATTTACTACCTTAGATACTAACCAGACTGCCAACATGAACAACAGTTTTAGACCAGTTCGGCACTCCTTTCAACACGAGATTCTCAAATTTTTCATTAACTGGATCATAGAGAAAGAAGGATTTGCTTCTATGTTCCAGTAAGATCTCCCCACTTCTGAATCTGCATACAGCTCGAAATTCTGATCTAGTGGCAGGGATACTATGTATCTCCTCTGGCAGGGAACCTCCAATGATAAATTCTTTGACCCAAGACTCTTTGACATTATATTCCTTCATAACCCAGATGTCTAATCCCAGACTAGCATTAGGAACGGCAGCACAAAGATGGCCTCGGAGAACCACTAGTTCATAAAACTGCTTGTTTAAGGTCCCATAATCAGGTTGAGGAACCTCCTGGAATTGCTCGGCTGTTAGGTCAAATGATATGACCCGGTTATTCATTATGATTCCAGGTTGAGTGATCCAATGAAGTCTACCGCTGACTATAACCTGCGAAATTGGTCGAACAAATTTGTACGACACCATCCCTAAACTTCTCCATTGGGAGCCACCAAGTGTTAAAATTCGAACCCAGGGTTGAAATGAATTTGATGCAGGATGATAAGATTCAGTTCTAAACCTTCTTCTTTGATAAGCAATCTCAACCACTTTATATTCCTTTTTCGTTGGACTGAAACCGAATCCTAAAATTCCCAATTCTCCAGGATTCCTTGCTAACTTCGGCAGCTCTACCAAGTCCCCGGTTAAAGGATTGCAAGTGTGGATTTGTGAAATATTGTCAAAGCATAGCAGGCCATTCGATGAACCAACCAAAGTAGCATGCATTAGTTTCCCGAAGAATGCGGATTTGTGGATTGCAAATGTGGATTTGTGAAGTATTGTTGACGCCTGAATTTTCTTTAAGCTCTTGTTTCCTTCACTAAAAGCAGCAAAATCTACGAAGTAGTATTGGTTCTGGATGAGTGAATGACTTTGAAAGATGATGCAGGGATCATTCTCGGCCATATGTAACAAATGCTTGTTAGCAAGTAGTGAGCCTCCTATTATGCTTCGCCAGGACCGGCATACAGACTTCGATTGCACCAAAGTTGTTATAGGAAGTCTTGATAGTATTTCAAGGATGACATCGTGAGGAAGACGGTCCATCATTCTAGTTGCTCCGCATTACAAATTCGTTCCTCCTCTTAAAATGCTTTTAAGGAAGTATATTAATAGGTATAGATTCAGCATGAATAATAAGTGAAGATGGCTTGATGATGCAAAGAAGGATGCAATTAAACATAATGCAATTGGCATCAACACATCGACTAAAATGAGAAACAAAACGACAAAATAGTACTGTACGGCAGTACAGGATCCGAACAAAAAACTGTCCGAATCAAACAAACTAATCAACGATCAGTCATTAATGCTGTCACTTGCATTAAAAACGAATCATTTGGCCGTTAAGTAACTACGATCATCTGTTGATTCATATGAATTTCTTACCAATTATTGCAGCTCATCAGTATTGAATATATGTTGTATTCGGACATCCAACAATGCTTATATTCATGTAAAATATGTTTAAATCCTACATACTAGGAGTGTCGGATACACGATTAAACACACAGATAACAATCTCAAGGAGCAGTATAAACTCAAAAGAAGTCGTATGAAACACTAATTACTAGCAATTAATGTGTGGAAGACTGACCCAGCAACCTATGCATGTAACTGCAGTTTTTTTGTTTCAACTTTCAACCCATAGAAAACATACCATACCATGAGAAAATTCTAATTAGTGTTCATTAGTGTAATTAAAAACGCCCTTTGACTGATTATTAAATCAGATAATTATAATCAAGCGGTTCAAACTTCAAACCCAGTTACTAGATTCATCCGTTTATATTCAATCCCAGTTTTAGTTTACAGAAAGAACGGAAAAAAAACAACCAAACAAAAGACTTGTTTCCAAACAATTTTCCAACAATAAACTAGAAGGATGAGTTAGAATGAAGGAAAATCAATTTGATAAAAGATACCTATTTGGAGAAAGCAAAAACACCCCACGATCAGAAGAAGGCAAAGAAAACCGACATGAATTAAGCTGTGCTTGGGAAAGTTGATTTCTTCGTCTTGTTTTGTAACCACTGTGTGGCTTGTTGCTTTGTATTATAACAACTGCATTTTCCCAGGTGAAAAAGGGAATGGCTCGGGAAGAAAATGGGCTCTGACCACCGGAGGATGATGGACTAATTATACTTTGCAGCATTGGAAATGAAAATTCGTATTTTGGGCCTTAAATTTTTCTTTCAAAGGCCACTACATTTGTAAGCTCGCTGCAAAATAAAATTTAATTTTTTAAAATTAATTATTTGAATCTGATCTACAGCTTATTATGAGAGCGATTCTTCTAATCACATTTGTTTCATTGGTAAATGTCAAAGTTCGAATCTCTTATTTTACTTAAAAATCTAATATATCATCCCACAAGATCAATTGATTATTAGTAAAATAAATTCTAATTTAAAACTCCAACCATAATTTGTATTCATGATAAAACTAAAACCTAAATTGAAAGTTTTATTATGGGTAAACTACACAAATGAACACTAATGTTTGAGTAAATTTTCATTTTTTTCACTGAAGTTTTAAAAGTAACAAACGGATCATTAATGTTATCAATTTGTAACAAATCGACCACTCGACGTTAACAATATTTATCAGGAACAACGAAATGCTTATGTGACACATCAAATCACTGATACGACATCGTTTGGCCACACAAGACAGTCATATTGACCGAGTTTGACTCTAATCTGGCTTAACAATAACCCAGCTATCTTTATGAACTGACCCACATACTAACTTGCTCCACCATCCTCGCTATATGAAATTGCCACTTTACACATATAACTATTAAATAGGTAGAAATATAGAATGCTATACCGCCTCAGATTATGAGATTCTTAAGTTGAGCAAATGGATGTTTCATGGAATAATGCTCTTTCTCCTTCTTTTTTCAATGACTATTTTTTATTAGAGTCTAAACCCTATCAACTTTTATCTAGCGTGGATAAACAATTCTAAACAAGGCTGTCTAACATGTCACATCAATATTATGTTAATGAGACAATGTTTGTTAATAGTGGAGTGATCGATTTGTTACTAATCGATAATATTAATGAATAATTTGTCACTTTTAAAACTTCAGTAGAAAAAATGAAAACTTATTCAAACACTAATGATCATTTTTATACCTTACCCTTTTTATTTATTTTGAAAACATTTTCCATTTTTTAATTTAAAAAAAATTATTTTCTAAAAATTAAAAGAGCTAAACCTACCTTTCATATTTGAACATGTTTGCTCACTAAATTCAAAAAAAAATTAGATCACTTATGTTATCGTTTTATTAAGTTTAGATCATTTAAACGTTATGACATGACATATTAGTAAAAGGGTTCGATTTTTATTTCAACACTTGAATTTTAGATAAAATACAAATATGGACCTTTTTATAAACTCAAAGCAGTTTAGGGACAAATTATCAATTTACCCTTTACTCTTGGTCGTCTTTTGCACCACCAAGTCAATTTTAAAGCCCTGAATGTTGCTGGTTTGCTCCATCTCAACTTTGCAGCAATTTATGATTTTCAAGGCACCATAGCAACAATAGTCGTCTCAACATTCCCGGGAAACCAGGAATCTGGAAGTAGCTTCCATGTTCAGGATGTAATCCTTGACAAAATAGTTGAAACATTTAAATAAAACCTTTCAAAAGGCTTATCGCACAGCCGCCGCCTCCACCGCTTTCGATAAAAGTAAGCCTCCCCGAAACTTTCAGAGAGATGAATGCTCCACTTACCCCTTTTGTCCATCCTTGCCCATTATCATGGAGAAGACAGTCAATGTATATCTATGGTTTTCTAACAGAGGAGAGAAAAAGCAAGAGCAGCATGAATGTTTTCAATGTGTACGGATGGAGGAGGCAGAAAACAGTTACATAAATATTAACTTTACATGGACCGAAAACTTACCAAACATAATCAATTAATGAAAATTTGAATCAAATCTATTCATACGCTACTGAAAAATACAACTGTCTTGCCTATGGCATGTCTTCCACGGTGGTTATTTACAAGCAGCCGGATTCTGTATGCCGGAAAGTGTTGGATGCACGTTCGAACATTTAGATATGGAGGGTCCTTCTGGTCCTTTGTACGTAAGGTTGATGTCGATGAGCTTCACGTAGTCGCACGGCATACCGCTACTGCAAATAATCTTGACTGCTTCCTGAGTTGTAGAAGTGCCTCTAATGTTCTTAAAGCTAATTTTGCTAAGTTTAAATTGCATGTGTTCCATGGACAATGTTCCTGATCCGCGAGGATGGGGTTGCCGACATCTTCCATTTTAATATCATCGAAATGCATGTCCGTCGCAGTGCCGGGATACGAGGCCGGCCAAGTTTTGATCTGAACACCATTCATGGCATTAGAGATGGTGCATTTCTTCGCGTAAACTCCGTTTACCGGTTCTTCACTTTGATATTTTCCTAGACTTCCGATGCTGATGCCGTGACCTGGTCCGCAACTCACTTCCTTGACGTACACATTTTTGCTCCCATCGCCTAATGAGATGCAGTCATCGCCGGTTAGAATAATGGAGTTGAGGATGTTGACGTCATTCGATTGTCCGATATGAATTCCGTCGGTGTTTATGCTATTTCTGGGTTCAGAGACGGTGAAGTGTTCAAAAGTAATGTTTTGGCAGTGTAAAACATTAACGTGGAACTGTTTGCTGTCTTTAGTTGTTACATCTTGTATAATTGTGTTTTTAAGAGCATGTAATCTCAGATTCTGTTCATTTTGGGGGGCATGATTAGCACCATATCATAAGGGTAAAACTTGATAAATGTACCATGAAATCTGGCTTACAATGGGAAGTGTGTCGCAATATTTGCTCTTGGCTCAACTGCTCTGGCCCCAAACACTGGATCCTTGGCCATCTAAAACTCCGCCGCCGGCTATTGTTAAGCCATCGACATAGGAGATGGCAATCCAATTTGAATCCTTGAACGCTTTAGGATCAGCTGGAGTGTGAGCCTTGCAAGGACCATTCAACAATGCTTTGCTTAACATGTACGTCCCTTTCGGAATCACGACGGTGGCCGATGCACACGCTTGTTCCCAAGCATTCAGCAAAGCCTGTATATAAACAGGGCAAAAGAAATTAACCTGCATTTCAACAGAAAAGCTTTTTCATAGTTCATTATCCATACATATATTTTTGCTTACTGCGCTCATGTCCGTTTTTCCGTCCGCCTTTGCGCCGAAATCGGCAACGACATTGAAAGCAGTAGATTCAAGTATAAGGATTGATGTAAAGAAAAACAAGAATGGTAGGAGTGCAATATTCATTTGTATAGTGATTTGTGCTTGCTGTGTTTTTAATTCTTTTGAATGAAATTTGGGTTGAAACCATTTGTACGCTGTTCAATGGAAAGAAATTATTTCTAATTTTAGCGTTTGGCCATGGCAACTGAGCTCAGCTTCCCCTTCTGTTATTAGTTCTCTTGTGTACTTAACTATAGGGTAAGTAATATTTACTAGCTGATCACCACACATTTTAATCCTTCATTATACTTCTTTTAAGTGAACATTGGCCAACATAAAGGCAAATGTTTTCAACTTATTATACATTTTTGTTTGTTTGTATGGAGTAAATATAAGGTAATATTTTTTCAAAGACTTTCAATCATTTGTTTAAAGACTCTCAACCATTTGACATTGAATGCTTACACCATTGCATATAGGCTACTCGAACCCAAAACCTTAAGAGAACAATGATCTCTTAACTACTAACATAGTTTGACTAGTTTTACCGGAAAAAAGGTGTATGAGATTTGTATTATATGATTCATCTTGGGATTTGTATTTTATGCATATTAAAATAATTAATATTGCAATATCCTTCTTGTGTATATGCTTTTTGAGACGAGAAGAAGAAGAATGACACGTGATTTTTTTATTTTAATTTTTAATTTCCAAGTCAGATTTTTGTTATGTTAATAGGTTAACGGAAGTCAACAGCTAAAGAATTTAAACCGGATTGATCGATAATGTGAGGGACCAAAACCATTTTTTTGAACCGGTGACTAAAACCGATCAGATCGAAAACAGAAGCACTATCAGTATAGTTTACCCCATTCCAAAATCTCTTATCTTCGATTCAACGGTGTTTCCTTCCCAGAAAAAAAACAGAATGAAAAAAAGGGCCACATACAGATAAAATCTGGAACTAAGTTCATATACATGAAAACTTTTAATCTTTCATAGCGTATTGCTTAATTATTTCCCTACCACGAAATAAATAAGCCTGAACTATCTATACCTGGTATAACAACTTTACAATAATGTTCTGTTTTTAATGGCTTGCTGGATGCTACTGATAAATTCATCAATCTTCATGGTACCGAGCTCTCCGCCGAATCTAGATCTAATGGTGACACATTGTGTTTCGACTTCCTTTGCGCCCACGACTGCCATTAGGGGGATTTTCTGCTTCTCAGCATTTCTGACAAGCTTCGGTAAACGTTCACCATGGCAAACTTCAGCACGGATGCCATTGGCTTTGAGTTTTCCAATCACTTCACTGCAGAATCCAAGCTGCGAAAAAGACGGCAATTTTTTTCCTTTTTAGAAAATTGTACAAAGGCAAAGTTTCTGAAAAGTTTCGGTATGCAGTCAATCAATACACAGGTACAAACTTGTTAAAGAGCTGATGAAACCCAAAGCTGAGTATACCTGTGCATCAGTAACTGGTAAAACCCGAGCTTGTATTGGAGCAAGCCACAAAGGAAAGTCACCAGCATAATGCTCTATAAGGACTCCGAAAAATCGCTCCAAGGATCCGAGCACAGCCCTATGGATCATGATTGGACGCCTCTTTTCTGTGTTTGAGTCAACATAAGTAATGTCGAATCGGTTTGGCAAGTTAAAATCAACCTGTCAAGCGAGAAAACGAATTACCAATTACAAATGTACATTTGAGCTAAGATTCACATGAAAGGGATGGAAAGAGAAGGTGCTGAATAAGGGAGGAA